CTCTCTCTCTCTCTCTCTCTCTCTCTCTCTCTCTCTCTCTCTCTCTCTCTCTCTCTCTCTCTCTCTCTCTCTCTCTCTCTCTCCCCCCCCCTCTCGTCCGCTGCGTTCGACGTAGGGGAAACCCGTTTGTCTCGTTGGAGCATTATGGCTCGCGCGGCAAATGAGCTGCGGCCGAACGCAATGGCCTTTTTTGTACCCGTTCGGACCGTTTCCCCTGCGCCACCCCGCAGCAGGCCGCCAAAGGCAGGCACCCCGCGAACGCCCTGCACGACGCAAAGGGCTTCGCGCGTGTTTTTTTTTTTTTCACCGCGCGGAAATGCGGTTCGCGTCAAAGGGGGCCGCCAAAGGCAGGCACCCCGCGAACCCCCCCCCAACGCGCGGAAATGCGGTTCGCGGACCCCGTTCATTCACGTCAAACGTGCGTTCCAACGGGGATTGAACGCGAATGGAACGTGTTTTCAATTTTTCAACGTGAAACCCGCGTTGAATTCAGTTTCGGACACACAACAAACACATAATTGGATCGATCTACCTTCTCAAGATCGTCTTTCGTTAGTTTTTCTTCACCTAACCGGTATGTATCCCACATGTTATTATGAAACTTTCTCCATGATGACTCTGCTCTTCTAATCAACCCACCGACTTCCTCCTTCAAGTCTATATGAACATACTTTATAATCTTTTTTAGCATTTGCTCCTGATCCACTCGCAATGAGACGCTATCTGCCTAAAATTATCAAGGAAGATAGAAACATGATAGCATTTGAAGAAGTCGATCTGAACCTTGGGTAGGCTGTCTCGCTCCCAATCTCGCAGACCCAGCAGATAGGCGAGTTCCTCGACCTCAATCTTCCTTTGAGAGTCTTCCATCTCGAGCTCCCTTGACCCCATCACATGTTGAACAAACAATGAGTGGTCTTAGGGTCGAGAGCTGAAAGAAGTTATGCAACTAAGTCAAATAGAGAATATATCCCACTAAAATTATCCCGACAGTCATCATGTAAGCGAGAATGAGAAGCTATTTAGAACAAGAACGATACCGATGAGAACCTTTAAACAAATATTCACTCAAATTAATCACAAATATTCACTGATAATACCCTTAAATCATAACTCATACATTAACCAAGTATCACTTTTCCTATCAATGAAGAATATGACACATATATGTCACAGAGCTGAATATTCCAATCATGAATCCAAAATGCAGTATAACCCACGATAGATAGCATATACTCACAATAATAGTTTCTAACATGATAAGCACATAATGTTTGCTAGGGTTGTAGTTGAAATGCATACTCTGCCTTAGAAACAACAATATGAAATCGACTCAACTGTGAGTTATGCGATAAAGTAACTCTCAAAATGCAGTGTAAAATTTTATAAGAAAAAAAAAAACAGTAGCAATGAGTTAATTACATGATACAGACTCATACAGTCGTTACTCCTTCAGCTCTTAAGGGAAGCATATAATACAAAGGGGCGGTGTAATCCTCATGAAATAATATTTTGACTCCTGAACCCCACTCTAAAGATCAAGCCTCACCACAACCCTCTCTGATTTCAGTGCTTGCACCTCACCGAGCCAATCATGGTCAGATGGACACCCCATTCATACCTATCAGGGCAACGAACAACGAATTCACACCCTTACAAATATGGTGGTCTTGCTTAACACGATACGAACCTAGGTCGCTATTCCAGAACCGCTTTTGTTAAGTAGTAGTTATTCCACTTGGTTATCACAATTTCAGCAAGGTAACAAACCCCTTCCTCCTCTCTTAATAGATAAATTAAATGTAGTTACTCTCCTATAACAGGAAAGATGACAACACCCCACTAATGGACCAGGAACATAGTTCCGGCATGAGTCTCACTATCACTCTTGAGACTAATAACATCTTTCTTAAGCATCAACGAGGGAGTAATAATTTGAAAGTGCACTTCCACTAAGGACCGATTTTACATGCTGACTGACTTCCTTCAGAATGAACCATCTTTCACGGAAACGAGTCACCTCATTTACCTCTGGTTTCATGTCAGATGAGGGTTTCATGCAGAGTCTATGTCCTCTTGGAAGGCAATCCATACATACGCCACCAAACGTGCATCAAACAAAATACAAAAAAGGCACACATATAGAAATAAACAACATCACAAAATCAAATATATATACACCATATATACTTAAAAGTTAAAACACAAGTTTCCCTTCGGATTAGTCAAAATTATAGCCCAGTAACCACTACTTCTAAAGTTTTACCGGTATTTACAGCTAGACAATCCTCAGGTGACTCAGCTTATCGCCAACTGATACCATCGAAGGGTCCAAGCACAATATTCATCACAATACCTATCATACCACAACTCAGTTTGAACTCAAGGAAAAACTTTTACAATTAAACCCTTCACTTCGCGCTCATCAGTCACCCCCTCATCTGTGTCACTCGTGTACCGAAAGCCTCCTCTAAAGTGAGGCTCTGTCGACTAGGGGAGGACGCCTCAGCTCAACTTAGTTACCTCCCAAAGCAGGCTTACCACAACACTCACGTAATGAGTCAACCAGCCTTAGAGTTTTAACAATTATTAACAAATAATATTTCAACAATGGACACACGCAACAATGTTGATGTCGCCGCACTCAACCTAAGCCGAATCAGATATGCAAGGTATCGACCAATCACCTCAAAATACTCAGGTAAAAAGGTGCTCACTGAAGCTGCTATTTATATGCATTAGAGTACGTAAATGTATAACCCAACACTTCCGTTCTCAATCAAATCGTGCAGATTTATAAACATCATCAGCCGGGAAGGCACATGGAGAGAGAGAGAGAGAGAGAGAGAGAGAGAGAGAGAGAGAGAGAGAAAGAGAGAGAGAGAGAGAGAGAGAGAGAGAGAGA